TGCCTCCTGGGTTCAAGTGATTCTCCTGCCTCAGCCTCCGAGTAGCTGGGATTACAGGCATACACCACCACGCTGGGCTAATTTTTGTGTTTTTAGTAGAGACAGGGTTTGGCCATGTTGGCCAGGCTGGTCTCAAACTCCTGACTTCAGGTGATCCACCCATCTCAGCCTCCCAAAGTGCTGGGATTACAGACATGAGCCACCACGCCCAGCCTCTCAGTTATTTATCTGTGGCTGCCTGCTTATATTTAAGAGGAAAAGATGAAAAAGCTGAATGGAAGCTCTGAGTATACAGACGAAGCCTGTCAACTGTAAGATTCACTGTAGGGTGATCTAGCTAAGCCATTTAATTTGGGAAATTCCAGGTCTTTCCTCTCAGGCTAGTCAGATTCCCCAGAGAAATCCCTCTTCTTTTTATTTTTGCCTGTAGGAAAAAAGGCCTGGTGGCCGGTGTTCTAACTGGCCAAGTGGAGAAAGATGCCTGGGAACCTCAGCATCCACTATGATAAATCCTAATTACTTTCCCTATAACTCCACCCTCAACTGTACCTAGGAGACCTTAATCCATAGACTCTGTTTTAACCTCTTCAGAAATAAATCTTCAGTCTTTTACTAGAGTGACTAGACATTTCTAGCTGCCCAGCATGGGAGGAGATCTCACAGCTTCTTATGCAGACATGAACCAATCCTTATTTTCACCCCATCCATCTTCACCCCCAGAATGCCTGGTGCTACCAATTATAAGTATTTGGGGGAATGTGATGTATAAATCAGGTTGGTTCTCACGATGTCCTCAGTAGTGGCTTATGTTTCAGTTTTCACATCTGTTTTTTAGCTTCAAGAATTTTATCACTGTATCCTCTCTGGTATTCTACATCTCTGTAATTTTTTTCACCTTAAAAAAAAATGCCTTGTGTGGATGGGCGCAGTGGCTCACCCCTGTAATCCCAGCACTTTGGGAGGCTGAGGTGAGTGGATCACGAGGTCAGGCGGTGGAGACCAGCCTGGCCAATATGGTGAAACCCCGTCTCTACTAAAAATTAAAAAATGAGCAGGGCACAGTGGCGCACCTGTGGTCCCAGTTGCTCAGGAGGCTGAGGCAGAAGAATCACTTGAACCCAGGAGACGGAGGTTGTGGTGAGCCAAGATCGCACCACTGCACTCCAACCTGGGTGACAGAGCAAGACTCTGTGTCAAAAAAAAAAAAAAAAAAAAAAAAAAATGCCCTTGTGTCATTTTAGGGCAGTTTCAGTATAGAATGGAAGTAGCCATGTGTATGCTTAACCTGTCATCTTTACTAAGACGTCTCACAAAGCTTTTATAGATAAACATTCAATTCTGGTGAAGACACAGTGAAGTAGGTACAGTGCTGGTAAGGGAATCAATAAGTTCTACTCTTTGGAAAACAAATTTGCTAATGTATACCAAGAACCCTTCAACCCAATGATTCCTCTGCCAGAAGTCTAAATTAATTTGGGGAGAATTAACATGCTAACAATATTAAATCTTTCCATTCATAAACATATCTCCACATTTATTTGGACCATGTATCAGCTCCCATCTCCATCATATTTTCTTTTTAAATCTATCTCTACTTAGAGGCAACATCAGCATTTCTTACCTGTATTACTGCATTGGCCTCCATTACTAACCACCAGAACTATCTTTCAAAAAATGCAAATCTGACCATGTAATGCCTCAGCTGAGAGCCCCTTACTGGAATCCCCATGCCCACATGATTAAGCCACAGCTCTGACAGGTAAACTCTTACTCTTCTTTCAGGGATCTGCTCCCACAAACCCTTTCCTGATACACCCACTTCCTAAATGACCTAGTTTGTTGCTCTTTTGTAGCACCTCTAATGCTTTATTTCACTTATTTACTCCTCTCTGTCCAACCCTCAGCTATGCATACCCAAACACAGGCACTGGCTTATTTACCCTTAGTGTTGACCAGAGAGGACTTACACATAGAATGAGCTCTAGCAACATTTACTGACTGATCTAGTCCCAGCCTTAGTTTTATTTATTATTAATTAATTAATTAATCAGAAGGGGTCTCACTATGCCAGCCTTAATTTTATAGCCATGAAAACTAAGTCTCAGAGAAGCCTCAGGTAACAGAGACAGGAGTAGAACCTGATGCTCATAACTCTGTCTCACCCTGCACCCTGATTCTGGCAACGTAACTTTACTATTTCCTATGTGGTTATTTAGAAAAGTTCTCCTCACATTCTGCAGCTGTTAAAAATGACAACTGTGAATAGCCAAAAAGTAAAAACAACTCAAAGGTTCAACAACTGGTGAATATTACTGGGCCATCAAAGGAATCAAGTTCTGACACATGCTGCAATGTGGATGAACCCCAAAGACATGCTAAGTGAGAGAAGCAAGACACAAATAACTACATATTATCCCATTTTTATGAACTGTCCAGAAAAGACAAATCTATAGACAGAAAACTGATGAACATTGACTGGGACTAAGGGCCAGAAAGGAGAGTAACTGTAAATGGGTATAAGGGATCTTTTTGTGGTGGTAGAAATGGTCTACAACTGGATTATAGTGATGATAGCACAACTCCATAAATTTACTGAATTGTGCACTTAAAATGGGTGAATGTTATGGTATGTAGCAAATCATATTACAATAAAACATTTTTTAAAATGGTTATAATTCATATAGTTAACAAAGCAAAAATCATTCTAGACCAGTGCTGTCCAAAGAAATATGCTAGGTACATAGGTACTTTTAAATTCTTTTGCTGGGCGCAGTGGCTCAAGCCTGTAATCCCAGCACTTTGGGAGGCCGAGGCGGGTGGATCACGAGGTCAAGAGATCGAGACCATCCTGGTCAACATGGTGAAAC